CAGACTCCATTTGTTGCACCACCGCCGTTGCCACCACCACGTTACAGCTCACACCATCAGCACCATGGTTACCTTTATGGTCCAGTTGTTGCCTCTGCCCCCTCTTTAGCGGCAAACAGACCAACAGCACCATGAAGATGCTGCTCCATTTTCATACACGGAATATCTTTACTCTAATGACACAGAGTAGTCATGTTTTTAAAACAGCCTTGTGCTTGTTAAAAAAATAACCTTGTTTTGTTATTGTTGGTTTAATTCTAATGGCTTGTTCAAGTTTCCCGTAGCCATGGTTACAACGTCAGCCCTGTGTTTAAGTTGTTTGATGGACTTTTATGGTAATGCTCTGTTTTTCTGACTTGTCTCTGATGACAGACATTTAAAGTTAAAGTGAAACAGTTATTTTTGTGGACATTTTCAGTTTATAGTACTTATGTTAATTCATGTTGACAATGCCTACAAGGGCATGAGTTAGTTTTCACTGTTCTGTTTGACAGAGCAGAGTTTAACATATATATATATATATAATTTTAGCAGTAACGAGTCAACAGGTAACTTTTTTTCCCCCTGCTGTATATCTTGATGTTTAGAAAAACTAATTACACAATAAATGAGGATTATGTTCATAAACAAAATAATTTTTTTTTCATTTATTGAATCAGTGCATTGCTTTATACAGATCTAATGGATATAATGTCTGTAACAATGTTGAGTTAACACTTTCCAGGAGCATAAGCACTTTAGACATTATTTCACGTTCACAATCTGAAGGTATTACTTAATCAGACAAGCTTAATGCCAGCCACACTGAATTTTGCTTAACTCCTTCATTCAGAAAAACTATTTGCCTTTCCTGTTAATGTAATCAGTGGAATTTGCTGAAGGCCCTAGACACTGCGGCATTCTGTGTGTTACATAAAGGTTTGTACCTCTGGTTCTGTGAATGGAAGTGATGTATGCTACGGACTTAAAGACATGAAGCTTTATTTCCAAGATGATGCATGGTAAGCTCTGAATTTCAATACAATAGAGCAATATAGTAACAGGCTTGTATTGTACTGTGTATCGTATATCCAAATCAATTTCAGATACTAATACCAGATATATAATATTGTCTCCGAATGTTGATTTAGAATGTTACAAGATGTGGAGGAATTTAAGTGAGGAAACGAATATCATGTCTCATCTTAAAATGAACATAAAACAAAACAACAGAACTACATAAAGGCTTTTTACGTGAGCACATTTAAACTTCAGGATTAACAGGATTTCATTCATTTAAAACACTACTCCACGGGGGAAAAACAGACATGCTAGCTACTTACTGACCTGATGCAGACACGTATAGCTGAAGCTGACTGGTCTGGAGCGAGAGAAGGTAACGTGAAAATAAGCGGGGCAGCCTCAAAACTGGCTTGCAATTAGAGCGTGCTGCAGTTCCCCTTTTCACCACAGGTTTACATTGTCAAATTTGTGAGGCGCTGTTGCGTTCGACTGCCCCACTTAGTATAATTTTATGTGCCTGCCGAAGCTTGCGATGAATTTTAATATACCCTGTGCATTTAATATACTTAAAATTGTCAAGATAATCTGAAAACTATTTGTTGCAGAATGCTGAAGACATTTACAGTTTATTAGTTTAATAGTTTATTTCTTCAGTTTATATAGAGGTCCATGTTTTGGGTGAATATTTTGGTGGTCACCTGCCCTCACAGACGAGCCGCGCCTGGAACAGACACGGCTAAATACACAACATTGAGCCTATGAGCCATGTGATGTTAATATAGATACATATGAGTACACATTAAATATTGCTTTGTGCTGCTCTTTATTTTAAAAGGTTTTATGATCATTGTCTTTTTTTAATCTAATTTCTTTATTGGAATGAATGTAGTTATAAAATCAGACTATATTTAGATTCATATGGACTGCTGTAGTTATTTAGCTGTAGTGATTGATGAAGATGAGTGTTATTGTTTGCTTTTGTATTATTGATGTTTTATTCATGTCATATTGTGAGAAATAACAGTATTGTCTTTCAGTACACTCTTAAAAATAAAGGTGCTTCAAAAGGTTCTTCAAGCGATGCCATAGAAGAACCATTTTTGGTATGTGTTTCTAGCAGCAAGCACTCAGAATAAAGTGAGATGATCTGCTGATGATCTGAATGGCTTGTTGAATGAGTGTTGATCTGAGGCTCATCAATATTAACAGAGCTGCTGAAAACACTCTTTATTTCATCTCAATAGCTCCAGTTTTCACCTCGTTTGTTAAGCTGATGTCTTCTGATCTCCTGTAAATGGACACTTAAAGCTCATTGGTGTATCTGTTACAAATGTGCATTTATCTCTGAGTTTATGCTTTCAAATGTTTTTCTGTTTCTAGATATCTGCTGTTATTTTAATGAAGAAACAGAATAATGTTAGAATTAGAAATACAAATTTGTGAATTAGCATCAGTTGTTTTACGACAGACAGAGAGATATAAATACTTAAACTTGTCAATTAGTATATGAGTCAAAGACAAAAAGGGGTTTATATAGAAAAAAAAAATCAGGCATATTCTAGAACAAAAATCATTTGACGACATATTCAAAGACTATATTTAAGGATCATATATACTGTAGCCCCAAAATACTCATTGTCATTTTAAATCTTTGTACTTGCCGCTATGCTTTAAACCACTAGGTTTTACCCAATTGTTTTAAATATAATGAAATTTAGTATGAATTCTTATTCTTTTAGATATTTTAATAAGTACAGGTCAGAATAAATAAATTGTTTCATTGTTACATAAATACATCTGTTATGCTGAATGACGATGGAACATTATTTTAGCTATGTTTAGACTTTTTGTTTTCACAAAAGTTATTCGAAACATTAAAATAGACACTTGCATTGAATTGGTTTTCTATGTATATACAATTACTTTTGTAAATTTAATTTGATGCAGACACTAAAACTTAACATCTGGACTTTGACCCAGTCACTGATATATCAAAAACTGATATATTTTTGATTTTGTCAGATAAGCTCCTCCCACAACAATCACATCACTAGTGAAGCTCCTCCCACATCAAGCACATCACTAGTGAAGCTCCGCCCCTGCAGTTCAGCAATAAATGCTGGAGTATTCCCATCAGTTTACAAGTGCAGACCAGCATCAGAGCATCAGGAAGAGCTGAAATCTGCAAACACTGAGTTTATTAAAGAGGACAGAGAGAAGATGAGAGATCCAGAACCCAAACCTGTTACACTGTTAAAACTTTGTGTGTGTGTGTGTGTTTAGTAATAAACAGTGAACAACAAAATTGAAAAAAAATAAATAAATAATAAAAATGGCCAGAATGGCTAACAGTGTTGTAAATTAAGTATAAATTAAGCAAAATGTGATTAATAGTTACTGATAAAAGTTGTATTTCTCATAAATTATATCAGTTATTCCTAGTTAAAGAGATTATTCTTTTTACAATGACGTTGGTAACAGGGTTGATGAATGTGATCACTTGTTGTGGGCTTCAGAAGTGAAGAAGCAAGTTCATACAAAAGAGAAGCCATGTTGTTCGTGTGGAAAGAGTTTTTCACGTCTACAACATTTAGAAGAACATGAGAAAATACATACTGGTGTGAGAGAGTATATGTGCTTTGAGTGTGAAAAGACTTCTACTTCAGCGAATTGTTTAAAACTGCATGAGAGGATTCACACTGTGACAAAAAAAATATATCCAATATATATATATTTTTTTCTATAATGATAATTACGGGATATTTTGCTAATTGTGTTTTTGTGCTGGTCTTGGCTAGTTTAGGATAAATCAATAAATATGACACTAAAACCCCCAGTGGGTGACATAAAGTCCCATTGAGTGATTGACTGTCTTTATGAATGAATGGATCATTGACTCAAACGATTAATTCAAAACAGCTGATTAATTTAGACACTGAGCAAGTGACTGTCTTTATGAATGGACTCTTAAGTTGTGTTTTTGTTTGTTTTTGGCAAAGTGAGTGACACTCGATAATGTCAGTTCGCAGATCATTAAAAGAACCATTATGATATTATGGTATGATAAAAATTGCACACCTTATATGTGAAGTAACTTCTACAGGTCATACCTCTTGACTTGATGCACATTTGCAGGTCAAACATTCCAGTCTCTCGCAATCGTATGCGTTTGAATGGAAATCAATAGGATGAAGTCTAGTGTGACCGCTCACTAATAATTATGAAGTTTTTAGTAAAATAAGTTAAATATTAATCTAAAAGTTGGTGCCAAAATTATGGCATTGCTGCATAATTTGTAATGTTATATTACAATAGATAATCATGTCATTGATCAAATGTGACCCTGGACCACAAAACCAGTCATAAGGGGCAAAGTGAGTGACACTCGATAATGTCAGTTCGCAGATCATTAAAAGAACCATTATGATATTATGGCATGATAAAAATTGCACACCTTATATGTGAAGTAACTTCTACAGGTCATACATCTTAACTTGATGCACATTTGCAGGTCAAACATTCCAGTCTCTCGCAATCGTATGCGTTTGAATGGAAAGCAATAGGATGAAGTCTAGTGTGACCGCTCACTAATAATTATGAAGTTTTTAGTAAAATAAGTTAAATATTAATCTAAAAGTTGGTGCCAAAATTATGGCATTGCTGCATAATTTGTAATGTTATATTACAATAGATAATCATGTCATTGATCAAATGTGACCCTGGACCACAAAACCAGTCATAAGGGGCCTGTAATGTTTAAAAAATAATAATAATAACTGGAAGACAAGTGTACCTCGCTCATGCAAAGTATCAATTAATTTATAAAAACGCATCAACATTATTGTAATATTTTTTGTCATTTCACTTTGTATTTCTCTCTTTTAATTATTTTGATGTACTGAAAATAAAATTAAACAGTTTTTCATTCATTTCAGGACTGATGGAAGAGAGCGAGGAAAGTGAAGAACTGAGTGAGGTGGAGGAGAAACCTTTGAACATGTGATCAGTGTGGAAAGATTTTCTCAAGGAAAGATATTCTACAGCTTCACATGAGAGCTCACAATGGAGAGAAACCGTTCACATGTGATCAGTGCGGGAAGAGCTTCACACAAAAAGCACATCTTACCAAGCACATGAGGATCCACACTAGAGAAAAGCTGCACGTATGTGATCATTGCGGGAAGAATTTCACACAATCATCAATCCTTAAAGAACACATGAGAATCCACACCGGAGAGAAACCATTCATGTGTGATCAATGTGAAAAGAGATTCTCAAACAAAAAACTTCTTAAGCTTCACATGAGAGTTCATACTGGAGAGAAGCTGTTCACATGCGATCAATGCGGGAAGAGATTCACACACAAAACACATTTTATGGGGCACATGTGGATCCACACGGGAGAGAAACCATTCACATGTGATCAGTGTGGAAAGAGTTTCCCATTCAAACAAAGTCTTGAGCTTCACAAGAGAGTTCACATGGGAGAGAAACCATTCACATGTGATCAGTGTGGAAAGAGTTTCTCATACAAACAAAATCTTAAGCTTCACAAGAGAATCCACACCGGAGAGAAGCCGTTCAAGTGTGATCAGTGTGAAAAGAGATTCTCAATGAAAAATCATCTTAAGCTTCACTTGAGAGTTCATACTGGAGAGAAGCCGTTCACATGCGATCAATGCGGGAATAGCTTCTCACGAAAATCATATCTTCATGTTCACATGAGAGTTCATACTGGAGAGAAGCCGCACTGGTGTGATCAATGTGGGAAGAGATTCACACAACCAGCACATCTCAAACGACACATGATGGGCCACACTGGAGAGAAGCCATATGCATGTGATCAGTGCGACAAAACATTTTTTGAGACATCAGCCCTGAAGAAACACATGACGGTTCATAGCCACATTCATGTTCTGTATGTGGAAAGAGTTTTTCACGACTGCAGTATTTGCATAAACATGAGAAAACACACATTGGTGTGAGAGAGCATATGTGCTTTGAGTGTGGGAAGACTTTTACTTCAGCAAACTGTTTAAAACTGCATGAGAGGATTCATACTGGAGAGAAACCTTACAAGTGTTCACACTGTGACAAGAGATTCAATCAGACATCAAGTCGGAAAACACACGAGAGGATCCACAGCAGAGAGAAGCTGCACACGTGTGATCAGTGCGGAAAGAGTTTCTCTGCTAAAAGTCACCTGAAGTTGCACATGAGGATCCATGCAGTGGAGAAACCAGATCA